ACTCGACACGGCCGCCACAAGTTTTCCTGCCGATTTGTACGTTGTTACCCCTTTTTCTACATTACTCCCTCGCCTTTTCTAACTTACACTGTCTCCTAAATTACGCTATCGTGTGTCTCATATGCATAAATCCACGTTCTATGTGTTCCATAACTTCGTACAGTGCACTGTCCACTCATGGTTGTCGCCGCTGGCGCTAGCGCTGCATCCGTCGCCGCCGCACATCTGGGCTCCACGAGGGGGTGTTGTTCCCCCGCGGGTGCGTGTGTTGTGGCCGCGTGCCTGTTGTGGTGGCGGCCGCATTCGTACGGTCAGTAGTCGTACGTATTCGTGCTTGCTCTCATCGGTCTTACCTCCCGCTACGGTTTGTGCTGGTGTACCGTCTTTGACAGGATTCGGTACTCTGGCCTCACTGTCTTCATCATCAGGATTGCTACCTGAGACGTCTTGGATAGACTTCATGCATGCTTCATTGTCCTCCGCGCATTGCATTACCCCCGTCTTTACCTCCTGAACTATGGTCTTCAGTTCTTGGCTTAGTGTCTTTATAGCGTCCTTCTCCTCTGGGCTCAGGGCTGTGTGGTCATCCATGGTATGTGCATCGATTGTGCCGCCTACGCGTGCCCCTAATGGTTTCCTACATGTGCTTTGTATTGCGGGACTTGCAAATTTGTCAGTCAAGCTCTGTTTGTTCTTTAACCAGTTCTGAATCATTGTCTCCATGCGGAAGTCATTGATTTGTATATCTGTAAACACGCCCTGGCGGCACTTGCCCTCTTTAATTAATCCAGGCATATCCTTCTCCATCTGTTGCACACTGTACCATGCATGATTTATGCCAATTTGACTTGTGCATTTAGATGCCAGCAATATGTACATGAATATATTTACTATTGCGCACCGTATATATTTCTCCAACTCTTTGTTGTTGCTGTTGTGATGCTCCCAGCCGCCGGACGTCGCACTCCACCTGTTCATGAAAAATAATGCTCCTGTCATGAGTGTGCACATAAGTCTATCTCCGACTTTTTTCGCCATAATTATGTGGCGTGTTCGTGAACTTTTGTAACCCTGGTCCAAACAACTAGATGCATAGAGCTCCACAATATCTTCTTCCATATATTTCACAAATTGTTCCAGTTCATTTGTTATATCTTGCCCTAGGCTTTTCTGCATGGTGCACAAGGAACATCTATGTGTGTGCATACTTGGTCACACTACCGGTCTCTGCCATATGCATATGTGCCTATGCCGTGGTGCGTACTGCACGTACGGTATCGTCCCATTGTATTATTAATATGGAATTAGTGCAGCGCCGCATGCGTACAATTATATATAGCGGCAAGTATACATACAATCATATATAGAGGCTGTTATAAGTACACAACGCCGCCCCGCGGTGTTTGTCAGTAACTTACGTTATACTGCTCCTTGTTACCAACTAGACCCCGTGTCAGCACATATTGTGCTAATAAAGCCCCTAACCTCTGATACGACATATTGTCACAACCATAAACGAATATAATGAAACCAATGATATCATTATCGCTCAGATAACGGCTTGAATATAATATGGACACAATATTCTCTTAGTTATTATTCAGATTTGTAGCGCATGGAACATGTCTGCCAGTATATAATCCCTGCGGAAACATGTCCCATGAACAAACTATCCCTTATCTGAATCTAATCACACACCCCATAAATGGTGGGATTTGGAAGAAGGAAAAACAGAAATGAAAAAAGAGAAAAAAGAAAAAAAAAAAAAAAAAAGGAAAAGAAATATAAAAAACACTACTCACTGTCATGAATAACGCCCGCTCCCGCCTTTCTACACCGGTCTCCACTAAACGCCTGCACACACGGTCTCTGCGTGCGTACCGCTAAAACCCGCAGTATAACAACAACATCAATTTCTTCTTCCGTCGTTCGCCACGTCCTCGTAAGGAGGAGATGTTCTCCGAGTATGAACGACCATTGTCCGAGTGTAAGAAGGAGCAGCATTGTCTCTCCGAGCAAACGCGTCGACCACAGCGGCCGCGTAAACCGCACTGTAGACGAGTGTACGAAAGGAGGGACAGATTGTCTCTCCGAGCACACGCGTCGACCAACGCGGCCGGGTAAAGGCGATTGTCTCCGAGTGTAACAAGGACGACAGATTCTTTCTCCGAGCAAAGTGGCCGGGTAAACCCATTGTCCGAGGACGCAGCCGCGTGTAACAAGCAGGAGAGATTGTCTCTCCGAGCACACGTGGCCGCGTAAACCGCATTGTAGCCGCCTGTAAGCACGATTCAACGAAGTAGCCGAGTGTAAGAAAGGAGGGAGACATTGTCTCTCCGAGCAAACGCGCCCGAGTAAGGGGGATTGTCGACGACGTAGCCCAGTAACAAGGACGCGGCGAGTAGGGCAAATTGATGTTGTTGTTATACTGCGGTTTTTAGGTGCACGCACACAGAGACACAGTGCATGACGGCGTTTAGTGGACAAGGCGGAGAGGGGGTGGTATTCATGACGCGTGTTGTGTGTAAGGTAGTGTAGTGTTTTTCCTATTTTTTCCTTGCCTGTTTTTTTTTTTTTCTCTCTTTAAGTTTTTACTCATAGTTGTGTCCGTGCATATTATTCTCTCCTAAACAAAATCAGAATGGTATACAGAGGTTGTGTACTGTGCAATTCTGTATTGTGCATTTTCCTTATATAAATTATATGTGTGATCGGATTTTCCCCACTAATATAGTAATAAGCATATTCATGAGGCACAGGTGTGCACGGCATAAAGGCAGAATATGAAGAATGTGCATAGCATTCTCAGAGAGCATTAGTATCATGTATTATGTGACGTAAGGCATCATGGCAGGGAATCTTGTGCACGTAATGGCCGAATGGGCACGGAAGCGACACCTAGGGACACAGGATTCATTTAATGTAAGTATTACCTCACAACAAGGGCTTGAACGACACAGCGAAGAAGCGCAGCGGAATATAGTGTTCGTAGATATATGTGAGGTAAAACATACGGAAAGGAACGTAGAGTCCTATAGAGTTTACATATTGTTATATATTAATCATTTTCTCTATGTATATATTTCGTAGAGTGCATTATGGGCAGATATGGAAAGTGTATTAAACGATTTTGTGCACCAAATGGAAAGCCTAGAGGACAGCTTAGACATGTATGCCATAAGCTGTGAGCACACAGGTTGGGTACGTAGAGGACGCGAGAAAGACGGAGCAAAATATACCGGTCATACGGTTGGCGACGTAATGAAATGCAGACTAATGGTAGGTGCATTATTTTTCATACCTGGGTGGAGCAATCCAATGCACAATGATAAGGACCCATCGGCAAATAATACGGCCATGAAGGCTATTATGAGGTGCATCGTGGCCAATGTTTTTATGTATATATTGGCTGCAATACCGTGTGGCCACGAGTGGCTAGGACCAGACTGGGCATGGCACATCATGCGGAATCTTGCAGTGGGCACCGGAGCCCAGTCTAATCCGATTTTCAACGGCACATGTGAACTGGATGAGTACAAGGATACTAACATAGGCACAGGGAACTTACAGGAAGCGGTAAAACAATGGTTACAGCAAAGTAGAAAGATAAGTGCTAGTATAAAAGCAATACAGAAGCACCCAAAGTGCAACATACCATGGGGACAGTACAAGAAAGAAATGGAAGCCAGAGGAGAAGCTGCAGATAGTTTCAGTATGTTTAAAGAGGAGGGCATGCAAGGTTTAGTGAAAAAGCAGATGCAAGACATGTTTAAGACAATTACCAAAACAGTAAGAAAAAAGGTGGAAAAGGCGCGAAAAAGGGTGGAGGTTTCCGTGGACTCTCCGGATAGTGATGTTGAATCTGAGGACGAGGAAGAGCAGAAGAAATCGACAGTTCACAAGGAGCAACCACTCAATGGCAAATCACCCGCCACAAAAACTATAGTACCAACAGGAGGAGGGGGACAAAAGGAAGAGAAGGACACAAGACGTGATGCGGAAAACATGAATGGTAAGGTTACCCATACACATAGAGACATGCGCACGCATATCCATAACACGGAATACGAATACGGCTGCTACAGACTACGGCCGAATAAGCCTGAATATGGATGCCGCCACCACAACACAACACGCACACGCGGGAAGAACAGCGCGGCAAACGGCCACAACACACGCACCCGCGGGGGAACAACACGCCCTCGTGGAGCCCAGATGTGCGGCGGCGACGGATGCAGCGCTAGCGCCAGCGGCGACAACCATGAGTGGACAGTGCACTGTACGAAGTTATGGAACACATAGAACGTGGATTTATGCATATGAGACACACGATAGCGTAATTTAGGAGACAGTGTAAGTTAGAAAAGGCGAGGGAGTAATGTAGAAAAAGGGGTAACAACGTACAAATCGGCAGGAAAACTTGTGGCGGCCGTGTCGAGTTGCAGGTATCAAGTTCGTCCAATTGGTAACTGA